CTTTTGTCACATAAGGTGATATGTTTCTACGTCCTAGGAATAAGGACAGAGGCATTTTTCAGAAGCCATTATACTGCCTATGACAAAACAGTAACAGAAGGACTTCTAAGCTTGCCTTACTAGTCCCTTGTTTCACTTCTCTCCAGACTCCTGCAAATATTCTTTATAAAATAGGAATCTGGATATAACTCTTTATATTAGTTTCCACGGGCTGCTATAACACAAATATGGCTGATAAGAACAGAAATTATTGCTTCACAGTTATGGAGGCTCAAAGTCCAAACTCTTCCTGAAGGTTTTGGAGAAAAGAGCTTTTTGTTTGTTTTCTTTTTGGTACTTCCTTCAAGGCATTGCTTGACTTGTAGCTATAATCTCTACTTCTCTCATGACATGATGATCTTTATGTGCCTTTCTGTATCTCTTGTGAAAGAACAACATTCATACTGGATTAGGACTCCAGTATCATGTTAATTGAGAACATCTTCAAAGATTTTATTTCCAAACAAGGTTATATTCTTAAAAAGCAGGTATTAGGACTTCATTATAGCTTTTTTTTTTCTCAATGCTCATTGCTGCTGAGTCAAAACCAATTCCTAGCTGACCCTGCAGCAGAAGGAGGTTGCATATCATTTGTCCATGGAGGAACTGGTGGATTTGAATCACCTGCCTCTGAGTTGGCAGCACGACTCCTTACCCCACTATGTGACTGTTGTTATTATATGCTGTTGAGTTGCCTGTGACTCATAGACACCCCATGCACAATAACTCTGAACCCTGTTCTATCCTGAGTCAATCTTACTGTCTCCAACACACCTGACTCTATTACCCCAGTCACTGTGTCAACCCATATCATCCAGGGTCTTCCTCTCCTGTATTGTCCCTCCACCCTTCCAAGCATGATGTCCTTCTCCAAGGACCGGCCCCTCCTGGCAACATGCTCGAAGTATGTGAGACAGAGCTTCAAAATCCTTGCCTCCAGAGAGCATTTTGGTTTCACCTTCTCCAGGACAGACCTATTTGTTCTCTTGGCAGTCCGTGGTATGTTTAATACTCTTCTCCAGCACCACAACTCAAAGGCATCAATTCTTTTTGTATCATTCTTATTCATTTTGTAGCTATCTGATGCGTAACAAGTAATTGCAAAGACCATGGCCTGGATTAGACACACCTTATTCTTTAGACTGACATCTTTGCACATCAGCACTCTGGAGAGGTCTCTGACAGTTGTTGTTATGTGCCATCAAGTCGCTTGCGACTCATAGCGAACCTATGTACAACAGCCCTAAACCCTGCTCTATCCTGTGCCAATTGCACTGCATCTGACACACCCATCCCAATTACCCCAGTCACTGAATCAATCCACCTCATAGAGGGT